CTCGGAGGCCCATGACATTCGCATCACCTTTTTACAGATGTCAACAAGGCTTAAGTAACCCACACGAGGCCACATGGCACATGAGGGACGCAGCAGGGCCTGCAGCCAAGCAGAGTTCAGCTCCCGGGCCGAGCTACGTACGCTGTGCCGCCAACCAAGGCACGTCAGGAAAACTAACGTGGAAGATTAAAGACAACGGTGAAGCGGAGGGAAGGCACCACTGCAATAACAAGACGACAACAAGGTTGAAGGTGCGTTTTCACCTATAAGTGACAATCACCCACTGAAACTGGCTGCGTGCTCCACGATCAAAGATTCTAACTGCATTGCACGTCCGCCGCTGGGACTCCTCGTACTCAGGGAGAAACGCTTCCTTGGCGCCGCCTTGAAAGGTGGCAGTGGGTGCCCCGAGGGACCCTGGGCGGGGCCTCCGGGGTCCGAACCGTACAGTCCTGAAGCCAGAGCAAGGGCAGACAGGAGACAGAGCCCACGGAAGCACCTCCCACCCCGGGGGACACAGGAGGCCCCCCCTGCAGTCCTTGCTGGCAGCGCCTTGGAAATGAACATTCATTCAAAGTGCGTTTTCTACCCCCGAGGGCGGCACTCAGCCCAGAAGGGACATCGGTGGCCAAGAGGCAGGGACCCTGGCCATGACACTGGGGGTGAAATCAGACTGGCAAACGGCTCTGATCCACAGCAGGTCGGTCAGTCCTCTTGACACCAAGGAGGGACAGGCGGCATCGGGTCACTGGTGACATGGGGGCGGGCCTAAGAGGCAGGCAGGCGGTTGCGGGGGCGCTTAGGGACCAGTGAGCACTCCTGCTGGACGGAGCACAGGCGCAGTGAAGGGGGGCGTTCAAAACCGGAGAGCCCTGAACGTCACACCAAGAACTGGGGATCTTCCAGAGGTTTTGAGGAGAATAACGTAATTATATTTCAGGAAAATTAACAGCAAAGTGGATCAGACGCAGGGCAGGCCTCCAGGGGCTTAGTGAGATGTGTGTGCAATCGCTCAGCGGCGTGACCGCGTCCACTGCTCCCTCCCGTGGGCACAGGGCCCGTGGCCTGCGGGCCTGACGGCAGGTGGGGGGGGCGAGTCCTCTGAGGACACTCGGTGTCAGTGCAGGGGACGTGCAGGGAAGGCCACCAGTGCGGTGGTCCGCTGTGACCCAACGAGAGCTGCCTCCGCAAGGTCTCTGGTCCGGTGCACACTCGTGCGGTGGGACGTCCAAGCCCCCCATTGGGACGTGACGCCCACACCCCCTGCCCTGGACTCTGAGCAGGCCGACGGCTCGATGCACACAATGCAACAGAAGTAACCGTGTGTCACGCTGGAGGCCAGGCATCAAGAGCTTCTGCCTTCGCCACCGCGAACACCGCCTCTTGGGAACCAGCCGCCCGGTGATGGGGCCACCAGGCCATGAGGACACGCGAGAACCACCGCAGGGAGGACCAGCCACGGGAATGGCACCTCTGCGACCTTCCGGCACAGGCCTGCCACCCTGCTGCAGCTCAGTGAGCCCCTTGAGTGACCCAGGCGGGCCCAGCCCAAGTTCTGGGCCACAGGGCAGCAGCTCATTAAACAGGTGCCAAGTCACGGCCCCGGGCTGGGAGGTCGCTGGTGCAACAGCAGTGAGTACCTGAACTCAGCTGGAGGGGTCCAGAGAACGAGGGCGGATCCTGGCTCTGTTCTCACCAAGCTCTGTGACCTTGTGCCGCTGACCTGCCTCCCCCGGACCTGGGCCTCCTCCTCGGCACAACGAGGAGGCTACGGTGCCTTCCTCTTCTTACAGTCTGCGCCCCGCGTGCGCTAAGAGCCACCACCGGGGCAAAGTGCCAGGTGTGAGGACTGAATGAGGCCTCACCAGGGACAGCCTGCGGCTCCCGACAGGTTTGTCACCCTGAGCCCCATATTGTCATCGCAGAAACACAGGTGCCAGGAATACGTGTTTCCACACGAGGAAACTTCTGTGTGTGCAGGCCCCGTGCAAGCCAATAATCACCCATGAGTGTAAGGCTCACAGCTCTTACGAACCCTCGCACCGTCCTCACTAGATGTCTCCTCCTCACCCAACGAGCAGAGGGGCTGCAGGGGGGCGCTGGCCACCAGGGAAGCACGCCGAGACCGGGAGAGGGCCCCGTGACCCACCACAGCCAGGGAGTGGGGGCCTGCACGGGCCACCTTGGGAAGAGCTCCCAGTCCAAGGTGGGATCCAAAACCAGCCCAGCATGAAAAGTTTGGAAAATGTCCTGCAACTGAGTCTGAGGGGCCTGCAACCCAAGGCAGCCCCACCACCAGCTGTGAGTCAGACCACTGCCCAGCGCAGAGCGTCCAGTGAAGCAGCAGCAGGCGAGGGAATCCAAAGTCCCAGGCCCAGGTTCTGTCGCTCGCTGCTCCAAGCATCCTGGGGATCAGACACCAGGAGGCGCCGTCTGGGGAGCCGGGGAGAAGCACGCCAGACCCCGCAGGTGAAAACCATCTGGGATCCTGCTCGGTGGCTGGAGGTGGTGGTTTTTTTAGGTGCCAGAACCTCTGACACACAGGTGCCCTTCAACCCAGCCACCACCTTTCAACCTCTGGGGAGCCCGGAAATGAGAGGCAACTACCCAGTCGCTCTCTCCGCGGGGACGCTGCCAGCCCGCCCGCCCTTGGGAGGGAGGCCCCGCTGGCCCTCCAAGGGTGCCCGTCAAGGCCGCAGCAGCGCACTTGTGTTTCACAGCCTGTGCGTGTCCGGAACAAGCAGAGGTGCTGCCCGTTTAACCGCAACTGTGCAACTTCACAGGCTCGGCCCAGGACAGGGCGGGGGGCGGCGTGGAAACTGGGTGCAATCGGGTCAGAAAAGCCTCTGCTCCCACCTCCACATGGGTCTCAGCTGACGTGGCGTGCAGGTGCAGGTGCAGGTGCCCGGCGTCAGGCCTCACAATCCAGCAGGTGGGGCCCTGGCCTCAGCGCCCTGTCCCTCCTCCCCTGCCTCGCCACACTCAAAGCTTCCTCCCCGTGCTCAGCTCTGTGCTGGGAAACACAGCCCCGACCCTCGGGGGCGCCCCCTCCTCTTTTGGAGCATCGCTGGGTGGGAGCCCAGGGAAGTTACCATAGAAACCACATCATGCAGCCCCCAGACATGGCTTAGAAAAGAAACTGGGAAAGGGAGGGCAGGGCCCAGCAAGCTGGAGGCAAGCCGCAAGCCCAGTCGCTCCCAAAGGCTGGACCCCATCAACCTGCATCAGACCACACAGAATGCCCCCGAAGCACCCACAGCCCTGGGCTCCTCCAAGAGTCATCAAATTAGACTTGGAGGCTGCAAGAAGTGGACTTTTTAATACGTTCATCTAGTGATTCTTACACACGCTAGGCTTGGAGACCCAACTGGGGTCAAATGTGGAGACTGTGAGAAAGGAATAGAAAGGCTTAAAAACATTTTAAATCTGATCTCTCTCCTCACCCTCATTCTTGCAAAACAGAGCCCTAGTGAACCCAACAAGACAGAAGCCAAGTTCTCAGTTAAGGTACATCCAAGAAAATTAAGTCGTGACGGTAGTGGAAACACGTAATTTAACATAAAAAAAAAAAAAAAACCAGCTCACCAAAGCAACAGGCCTGGACAAAAATTAACCCAAACATCCCTTCCTAGACCGACCAGATCTATTCTGAGAGAAGCAAGATAAGATGTTGGCGGCAGCCCCACTCTGGTTCCAGCCATACCCAGTGATTCAGCTCCGCATTCCATCGTGGGGTTTGATGTCTGGGGGCAGGGGGTGTCCCTGCTGTAGCCAAGACGGTTGGGGGAAGGTTACTCAGGGGCAAAAAAAGAGGCCGGTTCCCAACGCACGCATCCCCTAGAGCAGGGACAAATCTCAGCAGGACCAACGGCCCTGGGCCATGTCAGCGCCCAGAGAAGGCTCACGACAGCCACGCAGAGACCACGTGACGGCCCATCCCTGCCAACACCTGCACCTACACAGCCCTGCAGCGGAAGCAGGGAGTGCCGAGCAAAATTACCTCCACACGGAAAGTGCCACTTTCCACAGGTGATGGGCAGTGGGAACCCCAGCTGCAATTTTAGAAACCAGAACTCCTAGCTCTGAGAAACACAGCATGGAGGGGAGCAGGGGGTGGGGGGAGCTTATTCACACCTGAGTGTCCAGACGGAGGCCCCACCCACCCCTCCCCAAGGAGGCCTGGGCTCTGGCCCCAGGCTGGGAATCTGGTCATCCCCCTAAACTCTGCACCTGCGGCTGGCTCTTCGCGAGCTGCTGAAACTGAACACTGTGCCCGGGAACCAGCAGAAGCGGGGCTCTCAGCCCGCCCCCTTCCGTGACTGGCACTTGCAAAGGAGTCTTGGAAACCGGGCATTGGGAAGGACTGACCCGGGGCCTGGCTCCTTGGAGTCTAAAACACACCCTGTATTATTTTCCTCAACCCGGAAGCAGGTATTCCCCCTGTGAAAGACATTCTCGAAAGCGCCTCTCCCGTGGGATCCCAGCAGGTAAATAACACCAGAGCTTCCCTAAACTGGTTGTAAGGGACCAGGTGTCCAGGCTGTGCTCACTGCCCCCCCACCCCGCCCCCAGCTGTTGGGTCTGGAAATACGACCATCAGTTTTGGGCCCGTGAGGACAAGGGTCCGCAGGTGGGAGAGGGGAGCCGGAGGTTCTGCAGGTGGGAGGGAGGGGGGAGGACCAGGGTCTGCAGGTGGGAGGGGGCAAAACGGGGTCTGTAGGTAGGAGAGGAGAAGAGGGGTTTCTGCAGGTGGGAGGAGGGTGAGGACCGGGTCTGCAGGTGGGAGGGGGCGGAGGGGGTCTGCAGGTGGGGGCAGCAATACCGCTGCAACTTTGCCAGCACACCCCAATTCTGGGCAGGAGCTGCGGACTCCACACCCAGAGCAGCGCCCCTCCAGCGGAAGGGCCCCCAGCGCGCCCGCCCCCCTCCCCCCACGGTCCGGGCCGGACCCCTCCACCCGCCCGCCCGCCCCACGCGCCGCCCGCGGGGGGCGCCCTCACCTTGGCCTCGAAGCAGATGCCGTGCTGGAAGGCGTCCTCGTTGTGCAGGGGGATCCGCAGGTCGTGCCCGTCGTCCACAAGGTTGTACTTGGTCTTGCTGGGCATGGCGAGCGCGGGCGGCGGGAAGGGGCGGCCGGACCCGGGGCGGAGGGAGGGAGCCGGGCGCGCGGAGGGCGCGGGAGCCGGCGCGGCGCCGGGGCGGGCGCTGCTGCGGCCGCGCAGTTCCTGTCGCGAGGAGGCCGAGCGGGAGCGGGGCGGGCAGCCCGAGACCAGGGAGAAAAAGCGGCGGCGGCGGCGGCGGTGGCCGAGAGCGCCTGTGGCCCGGAGCGCCTGTCACGGAGACGCCGGCTCAGCGCGGGGCAGCTCCTCCTCCGGCGGCTGAGGCCCCGCCCACCGCGAGGCTCCGCCCGCCGTCGCCGCCGCCCCGCCCGCCGCCGCCCAGGCCCCGCCCCATCACCGCCCAGGCCCCGCCCCGCAGTGTGGGCCGAGCAGGTGCGAGTCCCGCGAGCGCCCCTCCGCGGCTGGGCTCGGTCTCCTCTCCGCCTGGCGCCTGGGTCGCAGGAACCCAGGCTGGGTCCTGCTTTTGTTTCCCTGTCCGGTTCCGAGCGGGCGGGGCTGCTAATAGCAGCAGCGGCGGCGGCGCCTGGGGTTTTTGTTTTTGTTTTTGTAGCGGGGCAGGGGCGGTACTTACTGTTTTGTTTCCGTGCTTTACCGGGAAGGCCCAAGCCCAGCGGCCCAAAGTCACTGCATCTTCCTTCTGAGCGGCTCGCTTCCCCAGAGAACCAAGACTGCGCCCAAACCGGGGCTCTGGCGCGTGCTTTGTCCCCGTGAGCAGGGCTGTCTGGCTTGTGTCCTGGGGGTGGGACATGAAAATGGGGCACGAAGATGGGGAGAAGCCACGGTGGTGTTTGATCCTTCTCCCTGAAACGCCATCTTGACCTGGGTACGGATGAAACGCGCCCGTTTCTGGTGGTTCCGTCTTAAGAAGACCTGGAGCTCCATGTGCCTGTTGTTGAGAGGCCTGTGCGTGCCTCTCCTTTGCATCCAAGTTTTTCTCACGCCAACAACTGCAAATGAAGGGGCCAGAGGCATTAGCGACCCGACATTCAGCCAGCATCTGTCAAACCCGGTGGGCAGCGAACAGGGCAGCTGCCATGGACAGGCTTATTTACCCCAAAGTCACCAAAAAAGCAACCAAACCAGCCCGGCCTGAGGTCATGGAGACCGCATGGCCAGCCCCTCTGGGGAAGTCACCACTTGAACCACAGGCACAGTCACCTGAGAGCCTGCGCACCAGAAATCCTCAGCTGCCTGTTGCATAGACAAGGCTGGGACACAACCCAAGGAAAGTGCCTGCAAAGGGCACGTCTGCCCACACCACTTGCAACGTAAATTTCTGTAAAATGCACGATCGCCATCATCATATTTCTCGTCTCGTCCTTTCCATATGTGGCCAGCTCCCTGCCTGCTGGAATCACTGGCCCAGGTGTAGCGTTTGCCTCGGCATCTCCCCGAGTAAAAGCAAGCTGAGGGCTGGGTCAGGTTAACCGTGTACACTGCGCCAGACACACTTTATCATATTCCTCGGTGTTAGTAAGAGCCAAAAATAACCGGCACTGAGGAAACACACCACTAACCTTTTTGTAAATACAGGACGTGAGTCTAATCAGGCTCTTTGAATGTCATCCTGGTTTTAACACGCATCATAAGGCGCTCTCCAAACCCTGGCGCGGGAACCACGGAGTCCAGGCGAGATCATGGGTAACTGCTTCACTCACACCTCACCCCGTCCCCCAGTCTAAGAAACCCGCTGCCTCCTCACGGCCTTCATGCCCCGGCCTGGATGACCACGGCTCCAGACCTGAAGCTGTGACCCACTGTTTGCTGACGAGACACAAAAGGCTGAGCCCCCAAAGTATTCCGGGGTCTGGTATTCAGAGGCCACAGTAGACCACAGAGTAGACATCCAATAACTCATTATGGAGTCAAATGATAATCAAGACTAATAGTCACTGCACTTCCTCTGTGCGGCACGTGTCATCTCCATTAATGGTCACGACAGCCCTGAGGGGAGTCCCACTTTGGGAGAAACTGAGGCACAGAGGCATCACCTGACCGGCCCAAGGTCACACGCTTAGAAAGGGGCAGAAGCCAGAACCAGACTCCAGTTGGTGTTCCCGCCATGGCCGGGAAGGTGTGGAAGGCTTCTCCTGCAGGCGAGACACACACGTTCTCTGTGTGTGTGTGCTGTTGCCGAGCTATGTTCATGCCCCTTAGCCGAGACAGAATGTTCCAGAAGGAGGGGCTTGCTCTCTGCCTTGGCCTCCGCAGGCTCCAGTGTCGGCTGCAGAGGCGCAGAATGACCTTCTGCCGAGAACAATGGGCATCCAGAGTCATTTCCTTTTTCAGCAGTGACTTCGATCTTGTTTTTACACCTTTGAATGTAGTTGGTGATTGACTTCCACCCACAGCGTTTGCAGAGCCACACAAAAATGGCTGAGTGTCGTTTCTTCAAGGGAATGACGTGTACACACATCGCTTTCCAGGGCCTTCTGTGTTTTAAACTTGCACGAGACGATTTTAATCTGAAGTACATGTGATTAAAATACAAATTGCCACAGCATGCAATATTTTCTGTTAGATGTTATTAAAACTTTGCTTAAAAATGAATTCCAACTTCCGCCGAGATGGAGGCATAGGTGGAGATGCTGTGCCTTCTCTCACAACCAAGTTTAGAGGCAACAAAATATTAGCAACAGAAAACACAGCCAGAACACAGAAAATTGAACTTTTCGGAAGTCCGATAACAACAAATTCTTCAGCCTGACCGGTAAGAGGGGCGAAACCAGCAGCTTGCGGAGCGGGGTTGCACAGAAAAACTCCGTCAGACGGACTCGGGTGCGCAGAACCCAGGCGCAGGGTTGGACCTAGTAAGCGACTCAGCAAGCGACCTTGGGGAAACAGCGAGGGAGCAGGGCTGCGGGTTGACTGTGGTCGCGCTTTCCTGTGCAGATAGACAAGCGAGGGAGTGGGCAGTGAGACTATGGGACTGAGCAGGCCCCACAGCGCGCGGCAACACAGGGCGCCGCCATTTCCCCGCTCTGACCACGCCCCCACATACAGCGTCATAACCCAGCGACCTGAGAGTCCGAGGCTCCGCTCCTCAGCTCCTCATACTTAACCGGCGAGAACAGCCAAAAATGGCTCAAGAAGATCTCAAAGCCCCAGAGCCTATAAATATAAGCGATGAAGAAATAGCAAAACTCTCAGACGCACAGTTTAAAACACTGGTGATCAGGATCCTCACAGAACTGGTTGATTATAGCCACAAATTAGACAAACATATGAAGGCAAAACTAACTGAAATGAATGGAATTGCACAGGAAACCAAAAGCGATGAAAAGGAAACTGGGACTCAAATCAGTGGAGTGGACCAGAAGAAAGCAAAGAATGGCCAAACAGAAAAGAGTGAAGAAGCAAGAATTCAAAAAAATGAGGAGAGTCTTAGGATCCTCCAGGACATTTTTAAACGCTCCAACATCCGAATTATAGGGGTACCAGAAGGGGAAAAGGAACAGCCACCAGTGGAAAACTTACTGAACAAATAATAAAGGAGAATTTCCCCAATCCGGCAAAGGAAATAGACTTCCAGGAAATCCAGAAAGCTCAGAGAGTCCCAAAGAAGTTGGACCCAAGAAGAAACACACCAAGGCACATCATCATTAGCCAAGATTAAAATGAAGGAGAGAATCCTAGAAGCAGCAAGAGCTAAGGGGACAGTCACCTACAAAGGAGTTCCCATCAGACTGTCAGCAGATTTCTCAAAAGAGACCTTCCAGGCAAGAAGGGGCTGGAAAGAGGTATTCCAAGTCATGAAATCCAAAGACCTACAACCAAGATTGCTCTATCCAGCAAAACTTTCATTTAGAATGGAAGGACAGATAAAGTGCTTCTCAGATAAGATCAAATTCAAGGAGTTTATCCTCACCAAGCCCTTATTATATGAAATGTTAAAGGGACTTATCGAAGAAAAAGAAGTTAAAAAAACATGAACAGTGACAGGACAGCAAACTCACAGTTATTAACAACCACACCTAAAACAAAAGCAAACTAAAAGGACAGCTAGATCAGGAGCAGAAACATAGAAATGAAGATCTCAAGGAGGGCTAGCAATAGGGGAGTGGGAGGAGGAGAAGGGGGGAGAAGGTACAGAAAATAAGTAGCATAGACAGTAGATAGAAAATAGATGGGGGGGCAAGAATAGTACGGGCAATATAGAATCTAAAGAACTTGAGACACATGGTCATAAACTAAAGGGGGGGTAATGGTGGGGACGGGGGGTAGGGTGGAGGGGAATGAAGGGGGGAATAGAACAACTGTAATGGCATAATCAATAAAAAATAAATTTAAAAAATGAATTCCAAAAAATCCGAAATCACAGACTTTACAACTGCAAGTTACACAGTGACCTTCTAGCCCAGCTCCTTCATTATAAAGACAAAAAAACCCACCCAACTCAGAGAAGTTAAGTCATTTTCCTGGCGGTCACTATAGGCTCCAGCGCTGAGCTCAGAAACTCTCCATCACACGATGATGAGTTATAAATTACTTGACAGCAAGTTTATTTTTAGCCCATGTTTGAGGCGGAGAAAATGAATTCATTTCTGACCATAAAATGCCTGCTTTGCCAGCTGAGCACGGCCTGTGGGTGTCTCGAGTGGCCACGTGAGGTGGGTGTGCAGATGGCCCTGAGGCTGTGTAGGTCTCAGAGCTACAAGTCTGAGGACCTCACCTGAGAACTGCCAGCAATGAATGAACAAAGTGTGGCCCTGGCTGGCGCGGCTCAGTGGATTGAGCACCAGCCTGCAAACCAAAGGGTCGCTGGTTCCATTCCCAATCAAGGCAAGGGCCTGGGTTGCAGGTCAAGTCCCCAGTAGGGGGCATGTGAGAGGCAACCACACATTGATGTTTCTCTCCCCCTCTCTCTCCTTCCCTTCCCATGTCTCCAAAAATAAATAAATCTTAAAAAAAAAAAAAAAAACAAAGAGTGTGTCCACTTGCTCGACCCCCTCAGACACACAGGGAAGAACTCACAAAATCTTTCGGTAAATAGTAACTTCGGATTGTAACAACCCACAGTGACTTCCTCCTGTCAGAGAACACTAGCTCCAAAGAGTCCAAGTTTTTGTTCCCTGACATCATTTTTACTGGACGGTCTCTCCCTGGGTCACAGAGAGCGAGAGCCATGCCCCCAACTTAAAGGTGGCGATAAAGATACTATGTGATTTCTGTGCAAAGGTAGGTAGGTAGGTAGGTAGACAGACAGAGACGACAGACAGACAGGTGGATGGATGGATGGAAACAGATGGAGAGGGAGAGAGAAAGAGGGAGAGAACCCCTCTCACCGGGGGTCTCTAATCTGAGTGTGGTCGATCCTGGGCTTCTATTCTGTAAGCAATAATTTGGGACGTTCTCCCCATAAAAATTGCTCTGAAAGGTTCTGATGCTGACTCACATGTTGTTCCTCTTCATTGAAACGGACTCCCCCCACGTCCGCCCCCACACCATGTATCATAGACCGTGGCTGTTTCCAGAGGGTCTACAGGCTGCCCCCACATTCTCTCTCCTGGGACACTGGGGTCCAGACTCTAACGCAGAGAGAGGAGCGGGGTCTGGGGGGTCGAACTGCTGACAGCTGGACTCCGGCCGGCTCTGCGCACCCTCTCTTGCGTGGCTCCTCCTGACCCACCCTCCTGAGAGGAGGGACCTCCTTGCTTTTCCAGGTCAAGTTCACAGCTGTGTTTCCTGGCCTTGCTTCATATTTCAGGTAAGAAATTTTTATTGACTCAACAGCTTTTGCTTCAAAAACCTTTTGGTCACAGGCAATAAAACCACTTTTAACAAGGGTGGCCGCTCTCACAGCCTCCCAGGAGCCCCCTGCACAAGACCGACCCCTGGCCGCGGGCAAGGTGCTGTGGCCCGGCCGTAAGAACCAGAGGCACCGTCTCTGAGTGTCACGGGAGGCAGGGAAGGAGAGAAACCAGCGGGACTGGCTTGCCCAGACTGA